TGTATTGCATTATCTTATCTACATACTCAGTTCAAATATCAAAATAAGGATCTACCCTTATTCACTTTATTAATTGTATTGCATTATCTTATCTACATACTCAGTTCAAATATCAAAATGAGGATCTACCCTTATTCACATTATTAAATGAAATGTATTGTATTATTTTATCTGAATACTCAGCGCAAATATCAAAATAAGGAAAATGAAATAAATTGTTAAATACTGGAAGAAGAATATGAGTAAAATAAGAGAGATGATTAAAGTATTAAGTAAAAGAATAATCAACCTTATTAGTATGAGATATACCAAGAAGAGATAGGATTAGAAGAACACTAAGCAGAACCCAGACAAGATGAGAGATCAATACTAAATAAAAAATATATAAATTCTTTTATCACACAAAGCTTATATAATCAGACCCCGCGATTTAAAAAATTCCGGAAAATACGGGAATAAGCTGTCGTTGGGCCTTGCTTACGACTTGATCTCTATTCTCCACTAAGACCAACCAAGGTCGGTTTTATTTTCATTGGGCCTAAATCCTTTAGTCGAGCCGAAGATCTTTCAGCTGTCAATCACGTGACACAAGCTGTCGTCAGAGTTCGGTCTTAAAGTCGGGTTTAAGGAATTACTGCTCAAGACGAAGTTTTTAAATCGCGGGTTTTCACACATTTTCAGCCCTTTAAACCCCGCTGTTTTCCTCGGCTAAAGTTAAAATGGAACAATTCCTTGTTTAACAATTATTTAATTTCAAAATATAGTGCAAATCTATTTCTTACGTAAAATTCAACCAAATTGAATAATTTTTTTCTTTTTTTCTACAGTGAGAACCAGAAAGCGGTGGAAGAGCATTAATTAAGTTGATTTGAGTTTATCAAACAGTTAATAGTTTTACTTGTGAATTACTAAATCACTTATTCAGTTCAATTTCTGTATTTTATGCTCATTGGACTATTTCAACTCATAACTTGACTCGTCTTTAAATTACAAAGCTTTCTGGTTCTTACAGGGCGTATACAAGGGGGAGGGGAAGGGGGGTAATGCCTCTCTTTAGACCTAGAACTCAGAGCTATCAAACTTTTCAAATCTTAAACTGAAGAGTTTGCAGTTCGGAATTGGGGGTTTAAGGGAAGCCCCCCCCCCTCAAAAAAATATATATTATTGGGGGAAATTTAAAAATCGAATTTTGAATAAAAATCTTAATTTTTTAGCCTTTGTGTCACCCCCAGAGTACCCATGAGTTTCCTCAAAATAAAATCAGCCGTATGACCATCCATAGCGAACATATAAATGAAAGAAGAACTTATTATATAGCTTATAATTGTACTCCTATTTTTTTTGGGCACAGTTTCTCAGTTTCAAAAATTTCTTTTGCTATCTTTAGTAAAAATACTATTACATAAATATAGTAAGTTTTAGATTTTTTGGAAATTTTTTATTTCTGCTAGCTTTGTATGAATGCGAGATAAAGTAGTACTTGAAAGGTTATTGGACTGTATGTGTACCTTTAAAGTATTTTATACTTATGCCTGATATCCAAGAAGCTAATAATTTTGAATTTTGAATTTGCCCCCCCCCCCCCAGGAGCTCCTAGGGATGGGGACACCCCCTAAATTTATTTCTGTATACACCCTTGCAATGTATGTTCACCTATAATTGCATCCCTGACAATATTCTGGTTGAACTTGTTGTAGGATCCGTAGCTTAGCACTGCACCTATACCCAGCTGTAGGGAGAACACAACCTAACAAATTAAAAAAATGGATCAATTTGATGATTTCTTAACCGTTGAAAAGTAAAATTTTAACTTGTAGGGGTTGGGGCTTCCTCACACACCCATTTAGAGGGGGGCATTGCCCCTTGGTAAGCACCCTTTCTTTGATCCCTAGCATTCCTGCGAAGTAGCGCCCAGACATACTGTAAGATCATCAACATATCTACCTACGAAGTAGCTTCTTACCAAGCTGTAGGATCGGTCAACTTATTTACCTGCGAAGAAGCCTCCATCCCAAATGAAAGATTAAACTTATCTACCTGCGAAGTAGCTTTTATCAAACTGAAAGATTTGTCAACTTATCTACCTCCAAAGTAGCCTCCAGCCAAGCTGCAGGATCGGTCAACTTATCTACCTGCGAAGTAGCCTCCAGCCAAGCTGTAGGATCGGTCAACTTATCTACCTGTGAAGTAGCCTCCAGCCAAGCTGTAGGATCGGTCAACTTATCTACCTGTGAAGTAGCCTCCAGCCAAGCTGTAGGATCGGTCAACTTTATCCAGTTTGGTGTCAACAACATGGTTACTCCCTAAACACAAAACAATTTGAAAATTTTGGAAAATTAAAATTCATTTTTTGGAAAAACTATTTTTTACCGAGGTATTTGAAAATCTAAAGTTTGTGGTTTTTAGGTCAAAACTTATGTATTGTGAATCCCAGGATTAAGTAGTAAGTAGTTATACATCTTATTCTTGTGCAGAATTAAAATAATTCCTCCTAGATATCCCGTGGTCAATGGTCATGCATGTCGGACGCGAAAGACTAAAATTGAGGAAGCAATTACTAATCCCTCAAATTTTAAAGTTGTCATAGAGATCAAGCAAAGAATACAAATGTTTTGACCTCTGAAGAAAAATTTAGAAATAAAATGAAGATGTTTACTACCTGTAAACCACCATCTGCAATACAGGATCTGATTGTTAAAGAGACAATCAACATAAACATCAGGGGAGTCAATACCATGCACACCTTACCCACAGATCTGAACAATTATTATTATGGTGACAAGTATAAAGATTAGAACTGTTCCTATTCCTAGAACGAGACACAGCTCTCCACTGAAAATTAAGCAATTTTTATAAAATTTTGGTAAGATCAGAAAATAACTTTTTTTTAATCATTCATAATTTTTTAAGTACAATGGACAGTAAAAAAACAAGAAGAAAAAATGGATACTGCTGATTAAGTAGGACTCAAGTTCATGTAGACTTGCAGGCAAGAATTAATAATGGCGAAATAGAATGAACTTTATTATGTCTTAAACCATTTATTTTGTAGAAATTTTAGGAAAATATTGTTAAAAAAATGTTACCTGACAGATCCCAACTCTTCAAGATCTCCTTTATCCTTGTTCAGTACATCACGATAGAAGAATCCGTCCCTAAATATCCGCCATTTAAAACTGTTAAGTCGCCATTTTGCTTCTCATTTTAAACCAATACTATTCGCCGCATGGTCTTTTTCAAAATTATTTTTATCCATAAAATCTAGTTGCTTTAAAAAGTTACACCATTTTTTATTTGCGATAAAACAAGGAATAATATTTAGGACCAACCTAATGTTTTGTTGAGAGAAAACTAGGAATAATGTTTAGGACCAACCTAATGTTTTGGAATAATGTTTAGGACCAACTTAATGTTTTTTTGAGAGAAAACTAGGAATAATGTTTAGGACCAACCTAATGTTTTGTTGAGAGAAAACTAGGAATAATGTTTGCCCGGACCAACTTAGTACTCCTAGCTCCAGGAAAAGTCGTACAGCTGCCTACTCAAAGCAAAAAAAAGTATTAAATAATAGAATAATAATTAAAACAATTATCATCTTTACTTCAGACAAGACCGTTTTTACAATATTCATTCAATGTGTAATAAAAAACAACATTTACAGATTTTTAGTTTTATCTTAATAAAATAATATCAAACAGAATTTGTGTTTTTTGAAGTTTCAATGTCCGTGGTCCCTAAAAAGGTCCATATGACCGTGAAAACTAAAAGGTTATCTTTTTTAAATCAACTTGTACTTCAACGTCACGCTATGAAGGGATGAATGATACTTCGTAGATAACTACATAATAATGATTGTTTATTGTGAATATTACCTGTACAAAAATAGTAAGTCCTAGTCCAGATAGAATTGGGCAAAGGTGTCTAAATAGCCTCATAGGGGCCAATCCTAAAATATCAAATATATTATATTTTAATATCTTATATTTTTTTATGATCCTATCTAAGTGTCCTGGGCTGGGTCTAACTAAGTATCCTGGTCCTACCTCAGAGTCCTGGTTCTTGCCTGAGTATCCTATTATCCCACATAAGTATCCTGGTCCTACATAAGTATCCTGGTCCTACCAAGTATCCTGGTCCTACCTGAGTACCCTGGTCCTACCAAAGTATCCTGGTCCTACCAAAGTATCCTGTTCATACCTGAGTATCCTATTATCCTACATAAGTATCCTGGTCCTACCTCAGAATCCTGGTTCATACCTGAGTATCCTGGTCCTACCTGAGTATCCTATTATCCTGCATAAGTATCCTGGTCCTACCAAGTATCCTGGTCCCCCCCTGAGTAGCCTGGTCCTAACAAAGTATCCTGGTCCTACCTAAGTATCCTAGTCCTACCTGAGTATCCTAGTCCTACCTAAGTATCCTGGTCTTACATAAGTATCCTGGTCTTATCAAGTATCCTGGTTCTACCTGAGTATCCTGGTCCTACCTAAGTATCCTGGTTCTACCTGAATACTGGCCCAGGAACATCTCTAGAAGAAGGGCTGGAGCTCCAACCAGGAGAAGTACAAGGAAGTACATTAATAAGAACGCCAGGCCTCCATGCTGCAACATTTATCAATCAATCAATTTAATAAAAAAATTGAATTTGATACAATAGTTACCAGAAAACCTTGGAATAAGAACAATTTTTTTTTCTTAAAAGTTGCTAAGGATTTTAATTTCTAACTGATATGTCCTAAACCTTATTAAAAACATGTCCGTTATAACTTATAACAATTAATTTTGACAAAATCCTTAGCAGACATTTCTAAATAGAAAGAATAAAAACAAATACTTCTTTCTTTAAAATATTTTCTGGTCACCACTGTTATTCTGATTCTAGTATATTCTGGTCACCACTGTTATTCTGATTCTAGTATATTCTGGTCACTGTTATTCTGATTCTAGTCTACGAACTCTCAGCTTTTCTCTTCTTTTTTATCTTACGAATTAACAAAATAAAGTTGGCAGATTTTCTGGGAACATTTTGAAATTATGATTTTTAATTCTGGCTGTTTTATCTTAGGACCAGATGTAGCCAGTTAGCCACTTATCGAGCAATGCCTGATAATCAGAACAAAGTTTAACACAGAAACAAATGATGAAAGGGACTGCGGTGGTTTTTTTCAAGTAACCCTTTATTTAAAAGAGTTATTCCAAATCCATGACGATTCCCTTTAAACCTTTTCTTAGCGAAATATAACCTTACTTTTTTGAATTTGAAAGCTTATCATTTTTTTTCTATTTTTCTATAAAAGGACCTGATTTATGCAGCAGAGAGAAGAAAGAAAATTATCACATTTTTTAAAAGATAGAAAACAGTCTCCATATCCTCCTGTAATCAGGAAGGAAAACTCTTTAAATGCCACTTCTTAATTATATTCCCTTTAAAGGCGCCCTCACACGAAAATGTTTTTTTTGTTAAAATTGTGTAAATTAAAAACTTTGCACACTTAAAAATCAATAAACAATTAAGAGCAAAATTCAGATTTTTCGCTGCAAATAACCTTTTTTTTTGGAATTATTAAACAAAACAAAAGTAAGCGGTATTCACTGTCAGTTTTGTAATATTTGGAAAGAAGTCTTGGTTTTAATTTTACAGAAATATTTTAAATATTGACCCTATCATAAAGTTCAGATGTTCGGTCATTTCTGCTCCTAAAGAGATATACAAATAGTCGTCTTTTTCAACAATCAATAAATTTGTTTACCTGTATAATAGAGATAGGTAGATACCAGATTGAGTGTAGGGAGAGAGAAAAGGCTTCGGTGTCCACTGTCCGATGTGCAATACTGCCTTTATATTGTTTTGATTGAAGAAGTCAGGCACTAGCCAGTGCTTAAGCCTGGGAAACTTAAGTAATTTAGCCTGAAACCCTAGCCTAGTTGTATTGTTCTATACGATACAGGGTTTACAGTTTACAGTGTCAACTATAGACATTTATATCATAGACTGTACAGTATCAACCATAGACATTTACATCATAGTCTGTACAGTATCAACCATAGACATTTACATAATAGATTGTACAGATTACAGTGTCACACAAAAGACATTTATATCATAGACTGTACAGTTTACAGTGTCAACCATAGACATTTACATCATAGACTGTACAGTTTACAGTATCAACCATAGCGATTTACATCATAGACTGTACAGTGTCAACCATAGACATTTATATCATAGACTGCACAATGTCAACCATAGACATTTATATCATAGACTGTACAGTATCAACCATAGACATTTAAATCATAGACTGTACAGTTTCAACAATAGACATTTACGTCATAGACTGTACAGTATCAACCATAGACATTTATATCATAGACTGAACAGTTTACAGTGTCAACCATAGACATTTACATCATAGACTGTACAGTTTACAGTATCAACCATAGAGATTTACATCATAGACTGTACAGTGTCAACCATAGACATTTATATCATAGACTGCACAGTGTCAACAGTGTTTACCATAGACATTTATATCATAGACTGTAGAGTGTCAATTATAGACATTTATATCACAGACTGTTCAGAGTCAACCAAAGACATTTACATCATAGACTGCACAGTTTCAACCATAGACATTTCTATCATAGACTGTACAGTGTCAACCATAGACATTTATATCATAGGCTGCACAGTTTACAATGTCAACCATAGTCATTTATATCATAAACTGTACAGTGTCAACCATAGACATTTATATCATAAACTGTACAGTGTCAACCATAGACATTTACATCATAGGCTGCACAGTTTACAGTGTTAACCATAGACATTTATATCATAAATTGTACAGTTTACAGTGCAACCATAGACATTTCAATCTTAGGCTGTACAGTGTCAACCATAGACATTTATATCATAAACTGCACAGTGTCAACCATAGACATTTATATTATAGACTTTACAGTTTACAGTGTCAACTATAAACATTTATATCATAGCATGTACAGTTTTCAGTGTCAACCATAGAAAGAGGCGTATTTAGAATTTAGTCCAGGGGGGGGGAGTATTATTGTGCCCGAAGGGGAAATTTTTCCGGGGGTTAGACCCCCTGTTTGAGAATTGTTTTTTTAAAATTATTAAAAAACGACGACAAGAATTGTTAAAAAAATTCTTTAGTAAACTATATGGATGTTTGGGAACAAATTTAACAATTGAAATTTTCTTAAAATTTAGTTTGAACGCATAAATGAAAAAAACTATGAGTGTTTAAATTTAAGAATTGAAAACTAAATTGTTGTTTTGATCGATAGCTCTGGGGGGTTCAATTACGAAATAGATAAATCGAATAAATTCACTCACGTAATTTTTTTGCAGTTGGGGTATACAAAAACGGGTTATTACCCTTTTTCAATAGATTTCAGATCATAAAGGTAGTTATGTTTATTTGAATAAACCCGGACATATTTAGCTCTATCTAGTTTTGCGTGTTCTATCTTCAACACAGATTACAATGAACGCACCCTGCAGTAGTAAACATTTTCAAGGAAATGTATTCATTTACATTCTAATCATGTTTTATCATGTTTGGACAATTTATAACAAATGAATACATCAAAAAATACACTAGTATTAGAAGAAATGAATGAATTACTTCTGGCCGGAAGTAATCGGAAGAAAAGCATTCATTAATAAGTTTACAATTTAATTTCATTGAATTGGATAAAATTGGTGGAATTTATTATTTTAATCCATATTTATTATTGAATTAAAAGAATGAGAATATTCTGGCCTTGAATGTATATATTGGTTTGAATAGTTTCTGTTGCATTAAAGATTTGAATTCGTTCCAGCAAAAAGTTGTTTTAATAAATATGTAAATATTTGATTTAAACATTTAGATTTATATACCCTTGATTGGAAGTAAGTTAGTTCAGGTGTTTCAGGCTTTTCATTAATTTTGTATTTATAAATATTTAATTTTTGTGTGTTAAAAATAAAAATTGCTTTTTGCAGCCCTAAGAACAACATCATTTTGATAAAATTCTAAGGAACATATTTGATAAAGAGAGAAAAAAGTACTTTTAAACCCGTCAGGACAAATGGAGGAAAATNTCGCAAAATCGTAATATTAATTGATCCAATTACATAAACATCTGCCTTAAGTTGAGATTGAGTGAGATATTTTCAAATCTGATATTTAACTGTATAGTTGGTATTACATAATGTTTGAACCACAAACATATACTAAGCAGTGAACCGAGAATTCGATAATTTATCACCTATATCTTAATTTCAACCACAGTTTGAGATTTATTATAAAATTCTAAAATTTACAAATATCAGTTAGTTCAAATTTTCTTCTTTTGAGATTTTTTTTAAAGTTTTAACCTTTCATTTAAAAATTAGAATTCCAACTATTAACATTTTTTATGATTTCTATTAACTGATGCTTCATGAAAAAATCAGATTATGTGAAATCATACTTTTTATACATTCACGCGATTTAATTTTAATCTGTTAATATAATATAATTAACAAAAAAGTATAAAAAAGACAAAAAGTTTAATTTAATCCGTGAAAATGGTTTTGAAAGTTAAGGCTTACTGAATGTTAAACCTGGATATCAATATCACAATGTATGCAGTGCATGCTAGGTGGGTTATCTACAAAGAACGAGAGTGTAATTAACACGACCTAAGAATTTTTTGAATATTTTTATCTTCTGGTTTGAATATACGCTTGTAAATAATGATTAGAATGATTTAAAAAAGAAATAAAAATGCATCAAGTTCACTTTACCAAAATTAAGAGCCAATTTCAGTCAAAATTTAAACTTACTTTAAACTTTGAATTAATAAATTAGCTGAACCGCGCAGACAAAATTCAACCATGTCTCAGTCTCGCCTTTCATAAAATCTGTCCCAGCCTTTTTATTTCTAATTCTTTACGTCAATTCCTGCCTTTCCTATGTTATATATTAAGGCTTTAAAGTAAACCCTAATAAAATGTCTAAATATTTTTCTTACATTTTGAACATTTCTTATATAAAGTTCTCCAACATTTTCCCGTTCTGTCGAACTCCGAAACTGTCGATAGTTTCCATAGCTGTCATACTCCCCTCCAAGCTCTAAAGCCATTTTTTCACAAGTTATAAACACTATCGTATAACTGTAAACTATTTTACATACTTTTTTTTTTCTGGAAATTGTTGACACATAAACAAATGATAAAGTAATAAAGAAAACGTATAAATAACTGTGCCATGTTTTTTAAAATAAATCAAAACATTTGTTTAAATTTTGTAATGTTTATGAATCTTGTTTCTTATTATTATATTTAACTTGTAAAATAATATTTGTTTTTGTTTATTAGTTTAATGTTTATAAGTGCCAGGAAACAATATCGCGGTGACTTTAACGCATGAAGAAACAACGTCGTACTGGGCTTAGCGTTGACTGGAAACCGTCGCGTCGTATAATGTAGAAGACCGGAGCATTAATTAGACTTTTGATTTTTTTCTTCGAATGAAAGGCCATTTTGTTTGAAAATCCTCATAAAGCTGCAGTACAGTGTTTATGTCATGTAATATTAATGTATGTCATCTATTATTAATGTATGTCATGTAATATTTATATATGTCATGTAATATTAATGTATGTCATGTAATATTAATGTATGTCATGTAATACTAATGTATGTCATGTATTATTAATGTATGTCATGTAATATTAATGTATGTGATGTAATATTAATGTATGTCATGTAATATTAATATATGTCATGTAATATGTATGTATAGATGTATTTTACAATTTTGTTGTACCGGTCAATTTCTTATTGTCGAGTTTTACATACACATTACAACATTGTTTAAAAAAGTTTAAAAAATAATCTTTTTTTTCATAATGAAGTTGAGTCTTTGCCAAATATCTTTGCAACCCAATGTCGAACACCTTAGCTATGTCAATTTTTGAATTTTGTTAGATCAAAAAATATAATATGATAGGTTCACACCATCAGGTTGCAACGATATAGAGATAAAGAAAATTAGACAAATACTGAATTCTTTTTCCTCATAATTAAACAAAATTTGCCAAAATATTAGTAAGCAATCTCGAGTATCGACAGCATGAGAACAACGAAAATTTTGATTAGGGAATGTTCTTAGCCTGGTTTAAAAATTCCAAATTAAGTGGGTTGACTTTTAAATATAAGGAAAACTCCGGGCAAAGCTGGGTTTCTCAGCTAGAAATATGAATGTCTAAATATATTTGATCATTTAATTTTTATACAAACATTTCTTTGTAAATATTTGTATACAATCGGTTTTGACCGGAAGTAAAGTTTTGACAAATAATTTTATATCCTCGCCATCTAGCCCCCCCCCCCGCCCCCCGGCCCACTTTCCTTCTCCTTCTGTGCACGCCTTAGATTGATTATTCTCTAAAGTTATGTGTTTGTGTTGTCTGGCTTTCGACATTCATTTTTTGGCTTCCAAATCAAAACATTAGAATCTGTCAACCGAATCTAGAAGTATAATGCAGTGTATCGGTTGAAGGGGGGGGGGGAGGGAGAGGGAGGCGGAGGGGCCAATAAAGGGTATAAATATAGAGCAACCCGTGGTCATGTTATGTTAAGGTTTTATCACAGACGAACGGTTTTATTGGCATTAAACTTTGAAAACGTTGAGCTAGAATCAAATTTAATTTTAACTTGTAAGACATGTAGAATAAGTTTATTTTTTAAGACGTTAAAATTTATTTTGCACATTTAATTTTAGTAAAATTAAGAAATCTGATTTT